GGTTCGGTAAATGAGCCTGTAATCCCAGCACTTTGAGAGACCAAGGCGAGAGGTTGCCTGAGCCCGCAGGTTTGAGACCAGCCTGGGCAATTTGGCGAGACCTCGTTTCTACAATAATTCAAAATTAGCCGGGCATGGTAGCGCACACCTGTAGTTCTGGCTACTTGGAAGGCTGATGAGGAAGGATCACTGGAGCCCAGCAGGTCGATGCTGGGGTGTCTGTGAGTGTGCCACTGCACTCCAACCTGGACAACAGAGAGAGACTCCAACTCAAAAAAAAAAAAAAGGCCAATATATCACAAGTAAGAGTAATGCTTTAATCTGTCATCAGTCTTTTGTGTGACATTCCAAATACAAATAAATATTGGATACCCAAAATAATCTTGTAGAAGTGATTTCACATTCCCAGAAGGGTCTCTAAAATTCTCTGTGATGTAAGATAGAAATCAGAATTTGTATTCCTGTAGACACTCCCATGGTCCTTGGTGCAGTTAGAACTTAGTAGGGGATGAGAAGGGCATAGATAATTATCGACTAATGCTAATGAAAGCAATTTTAGTAGAACACAGGAAAGCATTCTTTGTGTGACAAACTGTGGAGCTGAGAAAAGGTCTCAGGAGATTTTCTGAAATGAGTAGTTGGAGAAAATATTACGGATCAATTAATATAAAAATTAATATAACAAGAGTCTTAACATGAAGCAGTTGAGAAGATAACTTCATCACATCACTGAGTGAACACTGGTTCACAGGGTGTCTCCTCTGCTGGAAGTGATGAATTCTTGTCTCTGTGCACACAATGAAATCTCTGTAAACACACCCACTCTGTGGAGGTTCTGCTTTGTTCATTCTCTCATTTTCTGTGAGTTATTCAGGTCCACCAAAATTCAAATTGAGAAGCCTCATTAATACTGTTAATGTAATATTAAAGTACCATTAAAACATGCACTAATATCCGCATGTATTTATAAGGATTATTGTAATTATAGAGGGCTAATCCAAGTTGTCAATATTCAATTATGGTAACATCTTGCTAAAAATGTTTAAAAAGACAGGACATTTTCCAGAATTTTAATTATGGTTAAAATATTTCCTTCTGAATGCCAGTTTTGAGATGAGCACACAAAGAATATGAAATATAGCTCATAATAACTGAAAATAGGTGTATTTTTAAAAGCATATCTTTAGTAAACATGACTTTACAGTGATAATATTCTGTTTATCAATTTAATCACCAACTTAGCCACCTTAAAAAGTTAATTCAATAAATTATATTGTTCCCAATGTTATATCAAAAATTGAGATAAGACAATAATGTAGAGATCACTTCCACATTTTCTAAAAAAACTTTTTCTGGGAGACTATTCCCTAGCAAATGACAAATACCTTTTAGTATACAGAAATAAGAACAAGTTTATCTCTCTTAATGAATGACTATATTTTATTTTTTAATAATTATGTAAATGAATCCTACCTCCTTTTTGGTATCTATTGCCAGAAAATTCAAAGCTAAACTCAAGACCTAATAATAGGACTTTTTTTTCATCTCAGTAGATGAAATATTAATACATGTATATTTTTCTCTTTAGTTTTACTGCCTTTAAATTTTTTTCTTTTAAATAATTTTTCTTATAGTACACTTTTTTATTTTAAGTAGCATCAAATACTTAAAGACTGTCTATCACTTTTTAAAATCTAGACATTCTTATTTTTTATGAATTTATATTTTTTATTGAAATCTTATTCATTTATGACATTTTTTCACTATACACTTAGCTACTAATTATATTAATACTCATGAGAAAGACTTAATCATGTATAATAAGTTTTGAACTATATCAAGTACACCGAGTTCAAAATGATAAAAATATTTTGTGAGTTTTATAACATATATAAAAATAAAATACAGAACACCAATCATGTAAAAAATAGAAAGGAGAAATTAGATACAGATGGTTGTAAGTTTCTAATATTTTACATGAAATGATATAATATCATTTGAAGGTAAGCTACACTATATGAAAGATGCGTATTTTCAATTCTAGGGAGATCATTGATTTTTTAAGAGTTTTAGTTAATAAGCCTATAGTGGAGATAAATTGAAGAAATATAAATAATTGATTAACCCCAAAGCTGGCAGAGAACTGGGAAGACATAAACAAAAATCAAATGAAGTACCCAGAAACACTCCAAGTATTCAATCTCTTTGGTCCTCCCACCAAATCTGACTGAAATTCACTGAGTTCAAAAATAGTCACTGCTACCTTATTGCCTAGAAATCAGATGCATGCTCTGCATCTTTAGGTTAGATTTTATAATTCCCAGGATAAACTGATATTATCACCACTTACATATCTGTAAGATTTCTGGATATTTATTTTATTTTGGTTTTGTTAGTGTTTTTTAGAAAAGAGCCCAGAGCAAGAGTGACACTTGTGCTCATTTCTAAATGTTCAGTCAAGATAAATAATATGAAAGAAGAATAGATGGTTGTAGAATTTAGTAATTATCCAAGAATTCTGATTTTCTGAGATTTTATTTGGATTATGTAAGATCATATAGAATCCAGAACATCCACATTAAAACAGAACTTCTTGGAATTGCATTTTCTGTCATCAATATTTTATAACCCATTCCTTCAAATAAAAGTGGTTTCTGCTTGAGAAATTTCTCTCATGTCCACTTAGAATAATGGCCTCTTATAATTATGAGGACCCAGTCTTCATTTTTGTATGAGAAAAGTAGAACTCTTTAGGTGGAAGTAGGTGTGAAGAATATTTAATGGCTCAGGTTTTAGCACCAGACAAACCTGATCTCCAATAAAGACTCACAACCTCCTTGATTTTCTACATGTCATTCAACTGCTACTGACTTTTGATATTATCATTTGTAAAAATGACCCGCATGTATGTTGCCTTTCTGTTGGCAAAGTTAGAATCCTTACACAAAATGCTAAGTAAATAATATTTATGAACAAATGATATTCATATGTTTGCTTCTTCATGCTATCATCTAGGAGCACTGTGACTTGGACCTGCACAGGCAAAAACTGCTGTAAGCTCTGTTTCTTCCTTTGAAAAACTGAGAAGACAAAAAATATGGGGCTGTTTTAAGGACAAGGTAAGTGAAAAGCTGTAGCCAGTTTAGAGCATTTTAGTGCATATTTTAAGACAGATACAAAATATGTACCAACAATTAAAAATATGAGAAAATTATTTGACTACTTAGATCAACAGTCCTTATACCATTTGACACTGATATTCCTTCTTTTAGATTAGAAAATATAGTTTATTTAAAGGTAAAAGAGAGAGAGAGAGAGAGAGAGAGAGAAGATTCACCTCCCCAAGGTGGGAGAGGGGGCCAAAGCAAGAAGCATGACAACAGCCATAGCTCAAACAGCACATGGCCAAACCAGAGTTTAGCAAGGCAATAGCCTGAAACTGATCTTAGTGAGCTTAATTCTACAAATATTTTCTATAACGCATATTTCAAACTCTGGCATGGATAATTGGAACAGAGAAATGAGTTCTTAATACTCAAATGTTATAAACTATCAAAATGTATTAGCACCAAAAACAATCACTTCAAAAAGAAAATGATAACGAATGAAAATGTAGCATTATGTTTACCCAAACTAAAAAAAAAAAAACACATTAATTAAACAAGGGCTTGGATTCTCAAACAAAGTCCATTTCAATGAATACTATATTAGTCTCTCCCATTTAGTGAATTACATTGACTAGCAATGAAGTAGAATGTAGATAATTATATTGATGGACCCAAAGCCCAGATGAGTGCATGAATCATTGCATACAATAATAATCATAATTATGTTGCTAGCACCTTTTTTCATGAAAAATGAATGAAAATCCAGAAGCTACAAGATTACTTTGAGATGATAACATTCCTCAGTTCTAACACTGCTAAAAATATTAGTGCATTTATTAATGCTATCATAAAAAACGTCTCTGGTTTCCTGTCTACAGATATCCATAGCATGTATCAAAGTAGCAGGCTTTTTCAGACATAGTCTACATAAATAATGACCACAATATTTGACACTGTCACTAAAGTAGTCACATTCTTACAAAGTGGGATAAACTTGCACACAAATGACTGTAATAAGTAGGGAAATTTAACCAGAATGTGAAATAGCCCTGTGGTTTGTGTGTCTGGCTCAGAATATTCATCATCAGTTGGAAATCTGGCCTTTCAGAAACATTCATGAATTTACATTCCAGCAAATTGTTTACTCAATTTAAAAGATCACTTATTAAAGCTCAACTATGTATTTGCAACTGCTTATTAAAGGAGATGAATATCAACATTAAGCATTTTCACTGCTTGAAAACATGTCCTAAAATAAACCTTACTCTCATTGGAAATTCTTATTTCGCTTTTATAAGGTTTACCTGCATAATCAAACGCCAAAAAAGATTTGTGAATTTGACCTTTGTCATCCCATTTATCAGACTATTAACTCAGTTTCACATCCATTTTTAAAAGGTTAGCATCTCCTATGTGATGCCTTCTTCCAATTAAAATGAATAATACACAAACGCAGGCACTGAAGTGATTGCTCTTTGCTAGTTCTTATTTTAACAACCTCTGAGACTAGAAATAGAAAAGGCTTATGACCATAATCGATTTGGAAGTTATGATTGCCTATGTTTTTGGGTGCTAATGTGAGTATTTTTTATCACTCGTAAAAAGTCAGTAATACTATAAGTGGTTAGTTTTTGTGCTTTCTAATACAAACAACTGGAAATTATAGAGATTGCTTTATCTAGTTATTCCAGATACTAACATCTAAATTTCCCATTAATTTGTCTTTTGTAATATATATTTCATAGGGATAGGTTTTGTGAGACCCAATTTCATGCAAGTCTTACACAAGGTTTTAGAACAAAAATATTTTATGTTTAATAAGAGCGTGATTTGCTTTTAAGAAAATTTATCAATATAGCAATGAAAGTCAGATACAGAAATAGTTGACCTTACTTTTGTATTCCAGGTGAAAACCGGCAGCTGCCACACTGATATCAGATTGGAAATGTAAGTAGAGTTGGTTGGAAGTACTGTTCAGTAAGGCTGGCACCGTGGTACCTGAAAGAAATAATGGAGATGGACTTGAGCACTACAGAGGTATTGACTTTTGTGTTTTGTTTTGTTTTGTTGAGTCAGAGTCTTACTCTGTCACCCAGGCTGGAGTGCAGTGGCATGCTCATGGCCACTGCAGCCACCATCTGCTGGGCTCAGGCGATCCTTCCACCTCAGCCTTCCAAATAGCTGGAACTACAGGCAAGTGCCACCACGCCTGGTCATTTTTTTTTTAATTGTAGAGATGAGATCTCACCAAGTTACTTGGGCTGGTCTCAACCCCTGGTCTCAGGCAATCCTCTTGCCTCTGCCTACCAAAGTGCTGGGATTATAGGCATGAGCCACTGCACCTGGCCAGTATTCACTTTTCTAAATATCAGATAGATGAGGATATTTGTTTATCCTTACAAATCCCTGTAGCTTGTCTGATCACGACACATTTAATCTGAGTACTGGTTGTTTATCCCCATTTCCAGTCATCTTATTTTTCTAGGTAGAGTATAAAGTTACACGTTGTCTCCTCTGCCTCTTCAAGTAGATGTGGCATCTTTCTGTTTTCTGTTGTACAAAATCTCATGTTTTACAATGTGTTTGATTTTTCACATTGTTTAAACAATATCATCTTCTTCTTTTTAACATTTTAATTTTATTTTACTTGACATGAACCAAAAAGGGACACGATTTAAACACCCAAGTCTTATGAGTGCAAGAGGAATGGTCAGCCTACGTAGATGCTGATACAATCTTATTCATAAGATTTTGATTTTTACTATGTATTCCCTTCCTATTCCCTATGTGACTCAATACTAAATACCTATCCCACTAGATCTGTGAATGGTTTCAACTAAATATGGTAAAAAGCAAAATGAAGGTTTATTTTTATGCAACACTTCCTTTGTTTGACATGTTCTGGCCTCCATCATAGTAACTAACACACAAAAGCAAAACACAGATGCTGAAAACAAGGGTAAGGAGAGGTAATCATACTGAGAGGTGTGAGGAAAAGAAAAATGTTCCTTGCCCAGAAGTTTAAGATATTTTGGTAGAATGCATCATAATATGCAAAAATAGTAGGCAAGTTTAAACAACTTTTTTTCCTGAGGTGTATATGTTTGATACTTTCCAGTATTTAAATCATTCTCAAAATAAGAAGTATACACAGCCGGGCTCTGTGGCTCAGCCTGTAATCCCGCGCCTTTGGGAGGCTGACGTGAGTGGATTGCCTGAGCCCGCAGGTTCAAGACCCACCTGGGCAGCGAGACCTCATCTCTACAATAAATCAAAAAATCAGCTGGGCACGGTAGCGCATGCCTGTAATTCCGGCTACTTGGAAGGCTGAGGCGGAAGGATTGCCGGAGCCCAGCAGGTCGAGGCTGCGGTGACCGGGAGCGACCACTGCACTCCAGTCTGGGCGACAGAGTGAGACTCCAACTCAAAAAAAAAAAAAGAAGTATATACATATAAGATGTCAAGGAAATATTGATTGTGTAAAATTCACCATGGTGTGGGAAGATTATTAGAGTCAGCTGTGTTGACGATAGCATTAGTGTATAGAGAAATTAATGATAGGTAACAAGGCAAGGAAATAAGTTGATCATTATTCAAAACAGATGAACAATATTGAAGATAAGATCCTCTATCATTTCTAGCTCTCTCCCCAAATGATTCCTATATCTTCCAGCCGCTTTAATTAAACAATGACTTCAGGTACAAAGTCCAGTTGTTTCTGTACATGAGACTCTTTAAACACTGTGTGTCCACACTGAACTCTTGATCTATCCTTGCCACATGTGCTCAACCTCCTGTGTTTCCTACTAATTAAATAACAACACTATCAACATCCACCCATGTCCTCATACCTGAAGCTTCCTCCCTCTCCATCACCCCAAACTTCCTTCCAGTCAGTCATCAGGCCCTAACTAGCCTGCTTCCTGGTTCCCTCCCTAAATTGGTATCAGCTACTTCATCTCACCATCTTCACAACCACCACCCAAGGGCAAGGCAACCTTGTATTAATCAGGATTACAGCAATAATCTCCTAACTGGTTTCTTTTTTTTTTTTGAGTTGAAGTCTCACTCTGTCGCCCAGACTGGGAGTGCAGTGGCCGCTCCCGGCCACTGCAGCCTCGACCTCCTGGGCTCCGGCGATCCTTCCACCTCAGCCTTCCGAGTAGCCAGAATTACAGGCATGCGCTATGCCCGGCTGATTTTTTGATTTATTGTAGAGATGAGGTCTTGCCAAGTTGCCCAGGCGGGTCTCGAACCCGCGAGCTCAGGCAATCCACTCACCTCAACCTCCCAAAGTGCGGGATTACAGGCTGAGCCACCGAGCCCAGCTCTAACTGGTTTCTTGAGCCCGATCTTTCCTGAATCTGATTCATTCTTCATTCAGCAGTCAGAAAGCACTTTAAGAAGTGCATATATGATTATGTCATGTTAAAATTCTCATAGATTTATGATCATTTTAGGACCAAATTTCAAACTCCCTAATTTGGCCTAAAAATCCTGCACGATACAGCTGCCTGCATTTCTGGCTTCTGTATTTTCACAGTTGATTTTTCTTGCTTAAAGATGCTCCCATAATCATAACCTTGGGATTTTCCTTCCCGTCTCCCCTGATCCAGTTTTTCTTTTCTTATTCCTACTTATTCAAACATTTCCCAATCTTGCCATACAAAATATGAAACTGTGAGGACAGCTTTAATCAGTCATCAGCCTTGTTATCATCACCTTCATGTCCTGCCTGAACTGATAAAGTAGCCACCAGCTGATCTCCAAAACTGTCATTTGCCTTTTCTTTATGCATTCATTCTGCACACCAAGTAACCTTTTCACAAACGGATAAGGCTTGCAGATTTTATTTGTACATATAGATGTAAGACGCAACTTTTTAGTTCTCTTAGACAACCCAGCAATCCCCCTTCTGGAAATATACCTGGAGGAACTTAAATCACTCTACAAAAAAGATACCTGCACACATATGTTATTGCAGCACTATTCATAATGGCAAAAACACAGATCCAACCGTGCTGCCCCTTGAAACTGGACTGGATAAAAAAAAAGGTGGTACATAAACATGATGGAATGTCACGCACCCATAAAGATGGACAAAATTATGGACTTTGCAGCAACTTGGATGGATTTGGAGTCTATAATACTCAGTGATCTATCACAGAAACAAAGACTGAGTAGCACATGTTCTCACTCATAAGCAGACTCTGAGCATTTACCTTACCCTAATACTATAAGAAAGAGATTAGCAGTGGCTAGAAACTGCCTGGGAGGGAGCAGGTGGCTACGTAATATCAATGAGGGTACTTGATCTCAAACTAGGTGAAGTGGGGACCAAAGGGAAGTCCAAATGTAACCTGTAAGATGACCACTTGTGTACCTAATCATGAATTGTACCCCACATCTTTAATATAAAAAAGAAGAAAAGAAAAAAGTGCAGCTTTTTAATAAAATCCTAAATCAACTTCAGTGTGCTTTGAGGACTCGTGCTATGAAGTTGGAGAAATTTAATCTCAGTCATTACTGGGGAGTCCTTCTTGACTTCGGGATAACCAGTAGTCTCAAATGTTTTTCACTTCACACATGCTTATTCCCCAAACTCATGAAGATCTTTGAACTTTAGTGCTTCCAAGGCTTTGACAGAATGCTCTCCCTGGTCCTAAATCTAGCATTGCTAAGTGCACCAGGCGACGATTTCCTTCCTTCCTTCCTTCCTTCCTTCCTTCCTTCCATCCTTCCTTCCTTCCTTCCTTCCTGTTGGAGTCTCACTCTGTCACCCAGACTGGAGTGCAGTGGCATGCTCCCGGCCACCACAGCCTCAACCTGCTGGGCTCCGGCGATCCTTCCACCTCAGCCTTCCAAGTAGCTGGAACTACAGGCGTGCACTACCACGCCCAGCTATTTTTTTTTTTTAATTGTAGAGATGAGTTCTCGCCAAGTTGCCCAGGCAGGTCTCAAACCTGTGGCCTCAGGCAATTCACTCACCTTGGCCTCCCAAAGCATGGGATTACACGCTGAGCCACTGAGCCTGGCAGGCTATAATTTTCTTTTTCAGCTATCACTACCATCTTGGGCTGTTGTGAGGAATTCAACTTGGGCTGTTGTGAGGAATTCAACTACCATCTTGGGCTGTTGTGAGGAATTCAATGCCAAGTTGGAGATGTCAATTTCCTAAAGGAAGCCTAGGCCTGGGAAGCTCCGTCACCTTTCTTTTGTCAGTTACTTCAACCTCTTCAACATCACACCTTCACTGCCTCCTCTCTGCTTGCCAAAACTGAGCTTTTTGGAGGACTAAAGCTAGGAAGGGGGTCACCCCTGGGCTATAAACACCAGTTGGTTTTAGACCCATGTATGAGCACCAGACTATCTCCTGGAATGAGGTTGGGGAACATGCCAGTAGAAATGAGAACCTAGTAAAATATCCTGTCACAAGTGAAAAGGAGTTTTTGATGTTTACATTCTAAAGACTCATTAAAGACTTCCTATTAGCATTGGATTAGCAAATACAGTCTTCCATAGGGTTTACAAAGGCTCACCCGTAGTCTGAACATGAGTCTTCACTAGTAATGTTGGCATCTTTGGCCACTCAGGACCCAAGCTCTTATTGAAAAGTGTTAGAAGAAGAGCAGTGAGAAAAGGAGAGAAAAGAGAACTTCACACCCACTCCTAACTAACAATATGCACGCGCGCGTGTGTGTGTGTGTGTGTGTGTGTGTGTGTGTATGCATGCAGAGAGCCTTTGAAGTTTCCTGCTTGGATTCTCTGCTTGAGACTTGGGGTTTGTGTTTCAATCAATTTTCCGTGGCTGCCAAGGGGAGTTGGCTTTGGGAGGTGAGGTCATTTTAGGCCTAAATCATTCGTGAACAATTCACTGTAAGTACACTCTAAGTGTGTGTTGAATGATAAACACTTAAAAATGCTTGCTGATATAACTCCTTTGTTGTTTCACCTGGGTTTGATAGACAGATAATAGGTGGTAGATAGATAGATAGATAG